GAGCCGGTGGGAACGGGGGTTCAGTTTTGTTTCGTTTAGCATTGAAACTCTTTCTGTTTCAACATATTAATAGGAACTGTTTCTCCCTCTCAGTTTATCTTCATCATATTCTTTTGTTTGATGTACGCTTCCTAGACTTCTTTCCTTGCTTTCTTTATTTTTTCTTGATTCCTTTACTAACTAATTATCCTTAGTTCCTTCCTCTCCTAATTCCTCTACATTCCCTAGTTTTTTCCCTCCAATATTTAATATTATTTTTGTATTGCATATGTATAAATGTGTATTTGATATAGGTATATACATATTGCATACATATTTTTATATATATTTGTATTTTTGTATTCGGGATTGTGGGAAACGGTATTTCGATCTCACACAAACTGAAAGTTGACTTTGACTTTGCACCCTCATTATCTTCTTCCTCCTCTTCCTCTCGTAGATGTCGGGGAGGAAGGCCAGCGGTGTGAGAAGACGTCTCGAGTCTCGCTGGATCACCAGTTCTCCGACGCCGACGACTCGGACGACGACGGCGACGACGTGGACGATGACGACGAAGACGAGGACGACTACGATGGCGACTTTACGCCAAAAACCCGCTCTCGCTCCACCAGCCCTCAGCCGTTCAGCCTGCCCTCCATGTCCATCACCGCCATGGCCTCCTCCCACCCTCACCTCTCTCACCTCGCTCACCCCTCGGACCTCATGGGGAGCGCCAACAAACCGCCGCTTTTCGGGTATTTCACCACCGTGCCGAGCATCCAGATCACTCCTCAGGCTCCACCGATCATCCACAGCCAGGAGGAGTTTCAGAGGAATCAGTTCCTTTCTCCCCCCTCCATGGATGAAGACCTCCCTGCTCCAGACCCTTCCTCTCGCCTGTCCTCCCCCGGGCTAGAAATCTCCCGATGTCCATCCCCGATCTCCCCTTCTTCGTCCCCATCGTCCCGTCGATATCTCTCCCCACGCCGCGATCTTTCACCTTGTGCCGGACATCTTTCACCCCGTCGAGACCTCTCCCCAATGCGTCATATCTCCCCAAAGAGAGACCTTGCAGGGGGTTACAGACGAGACCTCTCCCCGAGGAGGGGTCACCTCTCGCTGCTCTCCCCTCTCTCACGGCCTACGTCTCCAGCAGGAAGAGACTACAAGCGAGACCTTTCACCCCGAGGACGTCACAGAGCGATGATCCGGGCGGTGTCCCCCCGTCGAGGGCTGCACCAACACCTCCACCACCCGAGGTAAGTCCTATTCAAATCAGAGGTTTTATTGTCATATGTACAAAGCTACAGTGTAGAAATGGCAATGAAAATCTTCTGACCTGAGCTCCTCCAACAATCCAACGTATATAATAAAATAAAATAAAAGCTTTTTGAATGCTGCTTTTTTTTTTAAATATGTTTATCATTCAATTCAAAATATTGATGGCCTTTGAAAAGTCCATGATTATCCCAGTACAACCTCATTTTAAGAGTAACTAATCCTAACCCTAATCCTTACCCTTACACGCAATGGAGAGTCCATGAGCAAAGTTTTAAAAGCTTTTTGAATATATATCTATCATTCATTTCACAATATTAATAACCTTTGAAGAGTCCATGATAACCACGGTACAACCTCATTTAAAGAGTTACTAATCCCAACCCTAACCCTAACCCTAAAACACAATGGAGAGTCCATGACAGCCATATGAAAGGTAGCAGCTAGAAACGCCACATTTGGTGCACATGAACAATCGAATAAGTCAATCACACACAACCAATTTGGTGAATGTACCACTTATCCATCAGGAGTTATATCAGAATTATACCTTTTTTGCTATAATGGGTGTCAATGACAGCTACACCAAGGGAAAAGGCTAGAGGCGCCAAACTTGGTACACGTGAGGGGAGGAAGGAGACCATCACAGATGCCAAATTTCATGATTTTAGTACTCACCGTTCGGGAGTTATATGAGGATCATTAAATGTTCCTGGTAAATTCAACCCTAACCCTAAAATTGGACATAATGGAAAAAAATGAACCGGAAAACACAAACATTGGCACTGAAACCTGTTTACTGTTTTGTTCTGAGAGAAGGAGACTTATGTGGATAAATTTGCTCATGAACAATGAATAATGAAGTCATTTGTAATCACTGCTATGACAAACTCCCATGACCCGACGCTACTTCCCAACCCACTCCATCTTTTTTTGTAGATTTTAAACATCCTCTTGGACTCGTAATTTTATGGAATTGTAATTATTGTATTCTAACTGTATTTGTGTCATTATGTTTTGTACCCATTCAATGGTATTTTCACATTTATCTTGTCATTTTACGATATTCTCAGATATGTTTGTTGTCTTCACATTATAATTCATGTTTGTTGATTTGTGAAGCCCTCTGAGACAAATGTGTTTTGTGATACTGGGCTATATAAATACATTTGAATTTAATTGAATTTAACTTGAAGATTTAATGTGATATTTCTTGTTGTTGTGTGACTTCCAGCCAGCAGAGTGGATCTCGGGGCCTGAGGCAGGGTCACCAGGCGGAGCTCGGCATTCTGGGACGTCAAAGAACCGGAACGGAGATGGAGACGGTAAGAAATAACAAATTAGAAAATCGAGTCAACATATGACTTTTTCTTTATTTCATGCATGTTTTTGGTATTTACTGTAGATTCTTTAAAGCTACACAAGGGCTATGTCACTTAATAAAAAGGGGCAGCATTACATACATGTATTTTTTTTAATTAATTACCCAGTTCATCTTTATATCATGGAGTTCGGCTTAAATATATGCAGCAGTTAACCAAGTTTCTCTAAACAGAACAGAACTCACTTGTTACCATTTGTATTTTACATTTGTCTTTTACTGTTTTAATAAGCCTGGCAGGAGGGTTTTATTTGTATTTATATGTCTTTAGCGGGCATTAACTTTCCATTTTTAGCAACACATGTAGTCTGTTATCTGTTTATTCCACATATTCACATTATTATTATTATAGTATACATTATTTATTCTACTGTACAGAATTGACTTTTACTTAGTTTTATCCTATTCCACCTTGCACCATTTAATTGCACTGTTTTATATATTTCTATGTCTTGAGTATAGTTGCATTGTTGGAGAAGCCTGGCTTAAGCCCTAATATGTGCATTCCAACAACTACACTGCAGCAATTGTGCATATTAAAATAAATCCTTTGAGTCTTGAATCTTAACTGGGATTTAGCAGACTTTCTGACACTCTTATGCACATGTGAAAAGGACAGAAAGAGGGGAATAAAGAGGGAGCAGAGAGGAAAAGCATCTGGCAGACAGAAGCATTTTGAGGGGATGAGGGAATAAAGAGAGTGTTGGAGAGAGGGATGATTGAAGATAGGGCTGTTGGGTTTTGGTGGTAATGGGATCTTGGCCGGCGTTGGTGTGGTTAATAACGCGGCTGTTTTTCTTCTTAAGAGCCCTACTTCAGCTCTGGCTTCTGCTGCTGCTCGCTCTGAAACAAAGCGTGAAGCAGAGGCTCTGCTTTGATAACCCAGCGTTCTCCAAATGATAGATTAATGTTTTAACAACCATCCTTCAGCCGTCATGCTTTGTGTTTCTTTTTCTTACCAACCGTCCTGAACAACCACACCTTTCTGTTTCCATGCCGGCTTACAGAGTGGTGCAGGAATACGTCCTAAAACCCTGGAAATGAGTTAGCATTTTAGCACTTCCTAGAAGTCAATGTTTTTTTTTATGTGTTTTTGGTTGTTAGCCTGAAATAAGGAGCCCAACATTAGCCACTGGTGACGTGAAGTCATGTGACCGTGCTGTAGTTCCTTTATAGCCCAACATTAGCCTCCTTTAGCTTAGCGGTGGTGACGTGAAGTCATGTGACCGTGCTGTAGTTCCTTTATAGCCCAACATTAGCCGCCTTTAGCTTAGCGGTGGTGACGTGAAGTCATGTGACCGTGCTGTAGTTCCTTTATAGCCCAACATTAGCCGCCTTTAGCTTAGCGGTGGTGACGTGAAGTCATGTGACCGTGCTGTAGTTCCTTTATAGCCCAACATTAGCCTCCTTTAGCTTAGCGGTGGTGACGTGAAGTCATGTGACCGTGCTGTAGTTCCTTTATAGCCCAACATTAGCCGCCTTTAGCTTAGCGGTGGTGACGTGAAGTCATGTGACCGTCCTGTAGTTCCTTTATAGCCCAACATTTATTGTTTATTTTAACTGATGTTGTGTTTCTGTTTGCCTTAGCTTCGTATATAAATGTCTAAAAGATGAGCAGAGAGGCAGCTAAAAAGAGGCGTCCATGTTTTTCATGTTTCATCTCCTCTCCTCTTTCCAGGAACATTGTCTGGAATCCTTGTCGCCAGGGGAACGGGACCAGTGCAGTAACCGCGGTAACCAGTCCAGCCCGCCTCACCAAGTCCTGTTTAGTCACCTTCCTCTCCACTCCCAACTCCAGGTCATTTCAATTCTTTATTTTTGTTTTAGTCATTTATTTCTACCTTCTATGTGTTGTGTCTGAGTATAGTGCCTGCATTATTATTATTTTTTATTTTTTTTATTATGGAACATTATTTTATGGTATTTTCTAAAATGTTTTATTGTAATATTTAGAAGATTATTTGTTTTAATTGCTTTCATAATTGTTTGTTTGATCTTCTCCTTTATTACACAATCAATACTTGTTATTTTTACACATTTCACTGTTGGTTTTTTGGATTAGTTTTCTTTACTCAACCTATTTTTCTGATTTCAGGTGCGTTCTCCATTCCCAATGATCCCCATCGGAGGGATCCAGATGGTTCACTCCGTCCCGCCCCCCGTCACCTCCGCTCTGAGCCAGAAAAAGCTTCAGAAAAACAGCTCGGAGGACTCAACAGCCAGTGAGGCCTCTCATTTCACCTCCCTGGAAGAAAGGGGAGTCATCGTAGGAGTAGGAGGAGGAGGAGGAGTGAGGTTAGAGCAGGAGGAATACATCCAAACCTGCACCAAGGCCATCGCTTCCCTCTGCATCGACTCGCAGGAACTCAGAGGAGGTGGAGGAGGGAAACATGGCGGCAGAGCTCCTTCATTATCCTGTTCTTCATCGTCTGAACAGCCGTCAGTCTCCAGGTCGCCGCCATCTCCTCACCCTTCATCTTCTCCTCCTCAAGGTCCCGGGAAACAGCACTTTAGCTCCTCCTCCTCCTCAGAAACCCTCCATCCTCCAACAGTGTCCAAACCTCTGAGGCTGGAGAGGGAAAAGGAGGCGGAAAGCACAAAGAGAAGCAAAGACGTATCGTAGGGTATTGTTTGTTTTGGATAATAGGAAGGGATGAAGTGCAACAGAGAGAGAAAAATGACTTTTGCACACTTTACACATTTTCTCCTACATCACTTTATACATGCATACACACACTCTCTCTCACACACATATGGATACAAAGAAAAACAGCTCTTGTCAAAAAAAGACTTTTATCATTAATGTACTTCATGCCTGCTCTCAGAAACTTTTCTTATTTAAAGACTTTTAAAGAGGATACGGTTACACATGTACTCCACCAATTAAATCTGCTATAATAAAGGAAATGGACTCTGGTTAAGCGGTACGTTTAAAAAAAAAAGAAAAGAATCAAGACAGCTACGTGTGTGCCTTTTCTTTCATCTTTATCGTGTTTTTTTTTGCTTATTTTCTTATAAGCAAACAAAGCAGGAAGGTAAATGTAAATACAATACTATCAGCTTTGTAATAAATGCAATCCCCCCCCCCCCCCCACCCTTTTACCGCCCCACCTCCTGTGTTTTGGACACCTTAAAGTCTCGACAAGCGATGTGAAGTTATGGATATTACTATTACGTACGGTTGCACTAAAACATATTTTTATATGAGTGAAATTTTAAAAAATGGCTTTTTTTGTGTACAGCAGCAATTCTATAATACTATTTATTATTATTGTTACCATGTTTCATAAATTGTACATTTTTTCTTAAATGTCGTGGATGCCTTTTTCTATGTAAAGCATGGGGTTTTTTGCTATGGCTTACATTAGGGCGAGGATATGTACACTGTAATATGGCTTTATATGTTAGACCTATTTATATATGTATAAGTGAGGAGGTCTACTTTGGAGGTATATACACATAGAAGTAAGATTTACCAGATATTTACCCAGTATATGAATACATACGGTATATAGAATCTATCATCTATCTATCTATCTATCTATCTATCTATCTACCTATCTATCGTTCTATCTATCTATCTATCTATCTATCTATCTATCTATCTATCGTTCTATCGTTCTATCTATCTATCTATCTATCTATCTATCGTTCTATCTATTGTTCTATCTATCTGCACTTAACATTTACGATGAGATTCACCTTACGGTAGTTTGCTTGTACATTTTCTCCGCTGCCTGTCCCTGGTTGTGATTTTTTCTCGTTTTTTACTCACTTTTCGTGGAATTATATCTTGAGATTTTTACGATGCACAGACTCAGCATTAAGTGAATGAACATGCCTTCTTGCACCGTGGTGTTTCTGCTCAATTATCTGTTTGTTTTTTTAACCCCTTTTTCCCCAAATATCGATGTCACGTTATAACAGGAAGCTCCACTTTCTAAAAATATTTCTTTAATGAAGACAGTTTTATTCGTCGGATATCTGAACGGGGAAACATTCCAGTCCATGTAAATATTCAGTCCCTTTACACACATTTTTCTGGCATTGATGCACATTGTTGCCATGGCAATCAACCCCTTATTTAATTGCGTTATTTCTGGGGACACATACACCAAACTCTCTGACGAATGCACCTTAAATTTCTTAGGATCTCCGCTATGAACGTCCCCGCACTATGATCTTTTTTTTTTGTTTGCAGCAAACTTTGATTGAAATGGAAATGTTTAGGAGTGCTCTGAGCCCCAGAACTGTCTGAAAAATAATCATAATAATACTTTGTGACATTTAGGCTTTCTGCACTGCTTTTCTTTGACCCTCCTCCTCTTTGTAGCTAAGCAATATTTAGCCGAAATTCTGCTCACCAGCAGGGAGTGTATTTGTTGCAAGGCAACGATAAGCGTTCTTAAAAATCCTAAAATCAGGAGAAGAAGGGTGATTTCAGTGACACAACTCTTTTGTCTTCGGACAGTTTTGGGTGGAGTCGGGCAGGCTGCAATGTGAGTGTGTATCTGTACTCTGTATCGGTGTGTATCGACCAGTATATCCTCTTCTTACGACTCTTTTCTATTTGGATCCTCCCTCTGTTATGTACACTTATCAAGACGACAATGATGTCTTTAAAAAAAATCTCTTTCTCTCTTTCAAAGATATCAAAAAGCACAAGTCATTGTATAGGAATGACGACAATACAAAAAAAAGAAAAGTAAAAAAAAAGGTAAACGTGCGTATAAAAGGGTAACTTTTGTGATGGTGTTCTGTGGAATTAATACATATACCATGTATGACCCCAGTGGCAAGGAGGAATCGCAGTAGAAGTGGAAAAGTGGATTGTTGTTTTCAAATAAATATGAATAGAATCATTTGTTTGTCTGCGCCATTTTTGATTGACTTGAATTTTCTTACACTTTCAATTCAATCCGATCCAGAGCTACAGTATCTTAACATTCCCTAATGTCACAACACTTAGTTATACTCATAGTGCTTTTCTTAGCAATAGCTGAACCGATAGGGTGCACTATAAACAGGATAGTGTGTGATTAAACCATAATCTTTGTGGAATTGTATCATAGAAAAAAACAGTTTTGATGTTTAATTTGCTTCTAAACTGACTCTTATTACCTTTTCTGTATTTCTCTGACATTGTGAGGAAGCTCCATCAAATGGAGACGCAGTCAAATAAAAACATAGTCTCATATTGTGGGAGCAAAACACTACAGTAATGTAGATCAGAAGATGTGTGTACAAAACAGTGCACTCTCTAGCCACCAGGTTTATCCAAGGAAATCGGCTTCTGGCTACATCCTCTAAGGCAGGGGTCTCAAACTCAAGGCCCGGGGGCCAAATCCGGCCCGCGACTTCATTTTATGTGGCCCCGCAAGAGCTTGCAAAGAATATAATACGTTTATTATACGGTTACATGCTACTTTACAGAAGCAGGTTGCCCATAAACTACATGTCCCACAATGCATCTCGTTTTGTGACATGCGCACTGAAGAGACTTGCAATTATTTGCCCTGGACTTCTGCTTTCAGACGTAGTTAGTTACTAAGTTATTACCCTATCCGATAATAATCCAATTCAGAGGCAATAATGTAATATAATACATTCTTTTATATATATATATTATATATTTATATAGTTACAACCGGCCCTTTGAGTGCAACCTTTATGCGAATGTGGCCCGCGATGAAATTGAGTTTGACACCCCTGCTCTAAGGCTTGCATTGATGCTTTATGCAGATGATGTGTTTCTGTTGGCATCGGTTTGCGAGTTTCAGAACTCATTGGATCGGCTGGGATGAGGAGCAACACCTCAAAATATGAGGCCATGGTTCTCAGCAGGGAACCGATCTAATTGTATTCATCTTGTGTGAATCTGTACTGTACTTTCACTCGTGGAGAATGAGTCCTGACCGAAAGAACGAAATCCTGAAATGAAGGGATTCAAAATGGGTTTGGTGCAAAATGAATGGACGGAGTCGTGTCAAAAGTTCGAGTAGCAGAAATGGCAAATCAAATGAGAATGATTGCACTGGCTGACAGAAAAAATGATTGTACTTGTGTCTTAGGTGAAGCTATCGTTACAGATGCTTTTTTAATTAATCAAACAAAGCAAATTGTTCCAACGACGCAGCTGGAATTCGATTATTGGATCTGCATTTATGCAAAAAAGACAAATAGTTCAGAACAAAAAACATATTGGTCCTAGTATCAGTCGATGTGGAAGGGATGCTTTGTGTCACTAATGTTTAGTACTCCTTATATTAATTTCACCAGTGGTAGTGAGACAATGAATAATGGAAGTAGAAAAAGTCGTGTTTCTAGCAGCACTAAGTCAGAAACACTATTTGAAAAACACTCTTTGAACGAGGTCAGCTGATAATTCTTCTCCACTGTAGTCACCCTCCTTCTGTCTAACTCTCATTTCTAATTTTAATGTAGTCCCTGTCATTAGCCATGTCCCACATATGTCTACCTGTCTCCTTTCTGTTCGGGTGTTTTTTTCCCTTTTTGTTGACACAACTGGGTTAGTGTCAACTTACATTTACTCTGTCAGTCTGTCCACGTGTCGGAGCGTCCTCTGGCCTTTCATAGAAGATGATCAAGCGAGTTATTTCGGTCCTGATTAGCGTCTGGAGGAATCACTTTCATCACTAGTTTGCACGGTGCGAGAGTGAGAGTAGTTTTCACGGATCAGTGCTGCGAGCATATGGAAATCTCCCCTGGGACTCGTGTGTGTTGCTGTTTCAAAGAATGTGTGTGTGTGTCAATGCCTTTGTGTCTGTATTCGTAGGTGTGTCTGCATGGTGTGTGTATGACATTGTTAAATTATGCAGAGAGGTTGTACCTGAACATTTTGCATAAAGAAGTTCTGCACTTAATGAGTTTTAATTGATAAGCAGTAACCCATTTTTGGTAAAGGCTTCAGGAGACTTACACCTGATTAACACCTCGACATGCTGCCATGAAGGTCTCATTTACACCTCTTTTTTATAACAAAAATCACAATTAGTCATCCCTTATTGTTAATAGGAGCGTAATATATGCATGAAATAAGATATAAGATATGAAAATGTCTCCCTCTTTACTATGTTGTGCACTATATAGTAAACAAACATTTTATATTATTTAAGTGTCGGATTTTAAATGCATCTGGGGAAAAGTGCACTTCCAAAATGTAATAAGTATCCTCCATTGCATCTGCTCTACTTTCTGCTACTAATCCCATCATGCACTAATGAGTTAAGAAGTTCTCCATCCATGTGGACAGAAGCCATGTTTTGGTTGATGCAGAAGTATGTTGCTGCAATCAAAATGTTGGACCTTAGATTAGAAACACAACTTAAATCCTGCAAAGACAAAATGGTTTCAACATCAAACTAGTTTCTGATTTCTCAGCACTTTTTAGCAATTATATAAAACCAATACTGCATTTCTGCTGTGGGGATCCCCAGCTCTTAAAAACATCTCTTCACATTCCTCTCACACATTATGATTTATAGTGTGGCCGTTAGCATGCAATCATCGTGCGTGTTGCTGAGTATCATTTCACAACTGGAAGTCATTTTGTAAACTCACGCTATCGCCGCCACACTGACCGTTACACAGCGTGAACCCTGGGAAAAATCTCATTTCTGGTGGAGTGTCACCCAAATCAGCTTGTTTACACGACTTAATGGTTAGCAGCAAACAGCCTGTGGTGCGTGCGTGTGTGTGTGTGTGTGTGTGTGTGTGTGTGTGTGTGTGTGTGTGTGTGTGTGTGTGTGTGCGTGTGTGTGTGTGTGTGTGTGTGTGTGTGTGTAAAAGGGAATACCACGTTAAGTTGCAGAGCTGTTCCCAGTTGTAATTATCTCTAAAGATAAAGCAGGGTGTTCTCCTTCTGCCTGGTTTTAGGACATGTTCTAGATAATTCTGAAATGGTCGGCTTGCAGAAAATCCACGAAGCAGCACATTCAGCATTTAACATAAACATGTCGTATACAAACTTTTAACATATTAGAAATAAGCCTTATCATTTGGACGTTATGCTTTGGAGTGTAATTAAACATTTGTTCAATAATCTAACTTGATGAAGCAGTCATTATTCTACAAAACATATATTTTCACAGCTAGGAGACCAGAGGACACTAAAGAGTGACGCACACAGCTGACCTAAAATATAAGTTCAGTATTATTGTGATCACAAAAATTAAAATAAGCTGATAAAACTACTTTTTTAGGTGCGTTTCCAACATCAGAGACAGTTGTCCAGCTTTATAATCCTGAACGTCACCAAGTGCTCCGTCCCAGCTGTGTGCGTCACTCTTTAGTGTCCCCTGGTCTCCCAGCTGTGTGCGTCACTCTTTAGTGTCCCCTGGTCTCCCAGCTGTGTGCGTCACTCTTTAGTGTCCCCTGGTCTCCCAGCTGTGTGCGTCACTCTTTAGTGTCCCCTGGTCTCTCAGCTGTGTGCGTCACTCTTTAGTGTCCCCTGGTCTCCCAGCTGTGTGCGTCACTCTTTAGTGTCCCCTGGTCTCCCAGCTGTGTGCGTCACTCTTTAGTGTCCCCTGGTCTCCCAGCTGTGTATGTCACTCTTTAGTGTCTCCTGGGTTGCATTCGAATAGTCCATTTAGCTTAGGAACCTTCCTAACGGAGTGAAATGACCCGGAAGTCCCTCAGTGGCAGCCATGATAAGTGCCGTTCGAATTCTCTAAATTAAAAGGAAAGGAGGTTTCAAACTTCCTTTATAACCTCCTTTAGCCTAGGAACCACTGGACCTCCCTAACGGGCCGTCTCCACGGCAGCGTTAAAAAATCTTGAAACGCTTCTGCCCATTCACTTTGAATGGGGTGACGTCACTTTTTTTCGCTTTCGCCGAAATGCATTGTGGGCAGGCGAGCGGAGATTCTCAGGATTTTCAAGATCCAAAGTTGAACAATGTTCAACTTTTGAAGCTGAGGAGGAAGCGTCAGCCAATCAAATCCCGTGTACGCAAATCTGACAGTTCAAGCTCTAGCCAATCAAACGGCGTGTATGCTGGGAGAGACAGACCGCAGGTCATTTCCTCATATTCCAAAACATGGAGGAGAAATTAGCGGTAGCGAATCAATCACCCGGTGCTTTATGACCAGACCTACCGGGATATAAACCGGAGGAGCCAGGCATGGAGGGAGGTGGCAGAGACAGTGGTATGTTTTCGCCTGTTTTGGGGAGTTTATATCCAGTTTACTTCGGGCTTTTTGGCTTCATATGTCGCGGGCGGGAGATTCATGTGATTGGTTGATCGCAAAAAAATCCCCAAGCCTCAGATACGCCCACCTCCAAGATTTTTTTAACGCTGCCGTGGAGACGGCCCGTAACCGAAAGGAGAGGAGAAAATGCTGCCCCACAATGCCTTGCAGCCGCAGCATTTGCCGTCACACAACAGTCGGCCGTTCACGGAAACAACCGATTATGAACGAGAAATGATATCATGAAAGTTACGGTGCTTATTAAGCATTTTAAAACGTATGTGGTAAGTTGCCAAAGTGCTTTGTTTTGAACGTTCATCAGTATTATAATCAAAAAGAGAAATATGAACGTTAGTTTTTACTGAAATGATCAAATAAAGTCAACATTTCACAGTCTTTACTGAGCTGTGTGGGGTTTGTTCAACTTTTAAAAGATGTTTGAATGGTGATATACACAGTGATAGATGTTAAGGACTAACGTTTATAATAAATACATTTGTATTGATTTTAAGATCTTTTTATACAATCATATGTATTGGGATCATTTGTATTAATGTGGACCGGAGGGAGAGGGTGACGAGCATAAGTTTCACTTTCCTTTTTTATTTCAATTTCAACTTTGGTCATGAAGAATATGTTTCTCTGTTGTCCCC